TATAATCATAATTTCAAATATAACATCTAACTTTAAGAAGTTCTTTTTTTAAAAAAAATTCAATTGATTTTAAAATTTTGACAGTTCTAATTAGCACTTAAATGTTGTTGCAATAAGCAAAATTAATTAATGATTAATTTTCAAAGGAAAGCGGAAAATCTTGATGAAACGCAATTAACCTGATAATGAGAAGTCATTCTGTCTACTTTCAGAATCGCGCACAAGAAATGCGCCATGTTCATTATTATTCAGTAGCAATAATTTCTCAGCATCAACTCGTCGAATTGGCCCAAAATACCATCTAAAATCTTATTAAATAATATCAGTAATGAATTTTAAAATTAGATTAATTCCGTTACTAAATTGCTGAAAATCAACAAATTGTATGATTTATTTATAAATTAATAAAAATTGTAAAATTAAAGTTAAAAATTCAATATATTAAAGAAATATCCCTATTTGATCGATAATTTCAATTCGAAAATTTGAATTTATAAACAAATTTTCCAATATTAAAAAATAAAAAATCTAGATTTTGAAAGGAGAGAGAGAGAGATGATATTGATGATTCCAGCACTATTTGGAATTGATATGTAAAGAGGAAAGAAATCAAAAAAAAAAAAGAGAATGTAAACGAAGAATAAAGATGTCTTCTCCCCATTTCAGTTCATCTAAGATAGGAAGATGAATTTCTTCATTTAGTTGTAACAATTATATTTTGTTTGTTCTGAGGTATCGCGAATTAAATGAATAACCAGGCCAAGGTAACAATTAATGCTCAATTCTTTGTTGTTATATTAAATAGACAATAACGAAATATTGTATTTTGTACATGACCCTTTCCTAAAATTAACAATTAATGAAAATTTAAACTATGAAGTAAAATAAATGAAATGAATATGAATATATATCCGCAATTGAATAAACAAAATTCACAATTGAACAAACAAACGTAAAATGATGGCAATGACCGCTTGATTGGGTCAGAAAAAAAAAGAAAAAAAATGATTTATTGGTAACAAATATTTTTTACGATGAAAATTTTCTTTGTCATATAGGAAAGATTTTTTTCTCTTTTTTGTCATAGAATTAATTGATTCTTATGAATCTTTGCAGTTAATTCATTACTTCTCTTTTTTGTTGTTTTACTATTTCATTTAATTTTCTGCTAACAAAATAAAATGATTGTTTAAAATTTGTTGAAATGTTGCAAAAACTAAGTGTGAACTTTTTATATTTGTGTGATTTAATATGAGAACCAGATGTGATCATCGTCCTTTTTACCCTTTTCTCCTTCCTTTTTTGTTCCTTCCAATACATTTACGAATTTACGATTGAGTTTTCCAAACAAAACTATTTTGTAAAAATGATTGAGAACAAAAAGGAGAAAAAAAAAATGAAAAGTTTATTGTAAATTTCCAAAATAATTTAATTTTCATCAATGGAATTAAATAATCGACATGACGTCAATTCATTAAAATGATAAGGAATAAAAGCTCAAATGGAAATTTTTGGCCATGGAAATAAAGAAATTAAATGAGTAAATGATTACTTCCAACACGTATTTATAACATTTCCTTCATTTTTTTTTTCTTTTTTCATTCCTCAAATTTATTTCGCTGTTTTACTTAATGATTCGGAGGAAAATTATGCTTATCATAAAGAATAACAGAGAGTTAAAATGTGATTACACTTGTCGAGACAATTTGAGAAACATAAGGTTAAATTTTAATCAATATCAATGACATAAAATAGAATCTGCTATTATTAACAGCAATAATTATAGGACCAAACAGGTGAACAAATAAATTCTTCCCCTTGTAAAGGGCAGCAATTTGAAAAATTTATAAAAATTTAGGGGATAGGCTTATATGCATAACATTTGTAAAGAAGAAGGATATGACAATATACATTGATCAATTATCAATAATAAACAATTTTCTAGGTCATAGCGACATCTGCGCCATTTAATGATGATTGTTCCTAGCAAAGTCTTTTTTTCCAAAATTAACAACGATTTTATTGTTAGAATACTACAAGATTTATTCGTAACTATTTAACTTTACCAACTTTTTCCAGTCAAATATTATCGTCTTCTTTAGAACTTTTTTCCTTTCTTTTCATCATCGTAAAATAAAAGAAAGAGTAGCCTAAATTTGTTATGCCAAATAGTTTCCATGTTTTTTTTTTTTTTTTTTTGTAAAAAAAGTTTCCTCAAATGTGACTGTTACGTACTACATCTCTAAATTAAATTACACTAAGTCGTACATTTATTTTATGCCATAAAAAAAACCGATGAAATTCGTTTCGGTGAATGTTTTTAATGTTTTTTTTTTTTTTAAATGGCTTGAAAAGTTTCCATTCATAACAATCTTTTATTTTAATCTTTCAAAAAAAAAAAAATAAAATAAAAAGGAATTATTAATGAAATGATTTATCTTTTTCCTGTCGTCAAAAATTGATTTAGATGATGCAATATGTGATTAGTGTTGAAATTTCTAACAAATTAGTGATAAAAAATCAAGATTAAATTTCATCAAAGGTTTATATTATTGTTAATGAAAAAGAGACATAAATTTAATAAAGTTAGTTAGATATGCTAAAAGGACAAAAGTTTAACTAGATTTTATTAAATTTGATAGAAAATAAATTAATGAATGGCATTGATTAAGAATTCTTGACATACAACTAATTGCTAATCTTAAAACAAATGAAATTAGAGGATAGTATGTGGCGGCGAAATATATGAATGAGTGAAAATTTAGACTACGAAAAAGCTCGGATAATTATCGAAACTTATGAATAGGAAGAAAAAATATGCGAAAAAGGTCAGTTGCAATATTCTGCCTCCAATATTAGGTATTTCTTCATAAATTCGTGATTAGATCATAGTTTTAGCCTTTTATCTCATGGTATGACATAAATCTTGGTCCATAAATTAAATGAATATCAAAGGAACGGTTCGGAAATGTTTAAAAATTGAACTTGACTTAGATGACCTAATTTTGATATCAGAACTTTGTTTACATCTGTTAATTTCATCTAAATAACATGGAGACATTTCCGCTCACACATATATGCCGGTAAAAGAATAGACAAAGATAGATATAATCGGATTTTGACATCAATTCCGGATTCCAAATTACTGAAAAGTTGTTCCTATCAAAGTTTTAATAAACTATATATCTCCTGCACATTTCTTTTTTAAATGTAAAAAAAGAGCTTTACAAAATACTTTTAACTTCTCTTTGTCTAAAAAGAAATCTAAAAATATATGTTTACACTTCGGTAAAATGATTTGAAGACGAAGCAAGCAATGAATAAGGAAAAAGAAAATGATGTTAACTATCCCGGTGCTATCGTATGAATATCATTGAAGAAAAAGAGATAGCATAAAGGGTTGATGGGATAACAATATCAGCCAAAAATGATACTTATTTGTAATGGCATTGATAAAGAAATTGCTTGAATTGGACATTTTTAATGAAGAATTAAACAGATGATAAAATGGCTAAATTATGCCTAAGCCAAGAAATATTTGTAAAATACTTTTGTATCAAAATATTATAAATATTTATTTTTTTTTATTGTCCGATCAGTGATAATAAGTGGTCATACAGTCAGAAGATATCAGTTAAAATGTTATTATGATAAATGATGGATGATAGAAGAGGAGAAATGACATTTGAATAAATGCAACCGGAAGAGAGGAGAGGAAAGTTTAAAGCTTACGCTTGTGCATCCAGACTTTTCTCTCGGGCGACATAGTTGGATGGAATATAACCGGATAAATTGGTCGTTTTACTCTTGGCATACCACCAGTCACCCTGCATATCGTTCAATATGTACAATAGCTCATCCTTCTTGAAACTTAGATCCTCGTCTGTCCGTGCGTCATAATCGAATAAAGCCACAAATAATGGTGGACTGTTGGATAGTTTTGTTGCACAACTTGTTTTAGTATGATTTCCGGTTGACGGATCAATAATGATTGCAGTAGGAGTAGATATAGAGGTAGTGGAATCAACAATAGGAATTATTGCAGTTGGATGTACTGCTTCCAGGATAGTCGTTGATGATTTTTTACCCAAACAAGAACCCATTTATTGCCCAAAAGCCAATGTAGTTATATAGCCATACAATGATTTAGGGTCGAAGAGGCACACAATTAATACTTATCACTGATTTTTTTGAATGATACCTTTTGAATACAGAAAACTTAAGGAATCACTATAGTAACGTTTGTCGTTTTTCACCAGAAAATGAATGATTTGATTGTTATTCGTGTCAGATGTTACCATTCGAGAATCAAAACCCTTGCAATAAATATAGATAAAGAATTTGGTGATGAAAAAGTCTATGCAACGTACCTATGCACAATGCAATAGATATACACGATCACGGAATACTTGCTTCCCTCTTCACCTTACCTGTCGCTACTGCTCTACCAGCGACATCAACTAAGGCGGTTTTTCAAAATGACAGCTCTTCCGCTGTTGAACTAAACTGAACACAAAACCAAAACTGACTGTACTCGTCCACTACCTATCCCAATGACTTACATACACGAACACGCAGACACACACACATATATATATATACATATATACATATGTACACACATATACATACAAACGTACATACATACACTCTTTGCCCAATGCACTAACATTAGTAAAAAAAATCCGAAGAGCTTGTGCACAGTATTTCACCATATTGCGCAAAAACCCTCTCGAAGGCCAACCAACGACTGCATCGTTGTGTAATGCTCTAACTGGCGATGAATTTGGACACTATTATCCCAATATAACTGACACTGAATGTGACGTAGGCCACCGTTTTTTCTTTCAGGTCAATGTTTGCTTTGAATGCTGCAATATACAATTTTCGAAGCCCAGTCAAGAGATTATCTAGATGACGAACAGTGATTTTATCTTAACAAAAGCATTATCACAAATAAAAATATACAAAACGACAACCCACAACACAACAAAAATTTATCAGTTTGTTTCCATCTTTTCTTCCATTTTCTGCTGAACTTCTTCAGTACTACTGGCCTGCTTTTTCGATTGCAATGGGGCACGTATCAAATACACCTTCTTTCGAGCCTTCTGTAGATCACCAATACGTTTGATGGCCTTACCCGGTTGCAGAGTTCTTTTGATATGTTCACCATAACGTTTCTCACGCAAAGCTATTATTTCTTTGGCGGCATCAACTGCAAAACAAAAGATTATAATTGCACAAGAAGAACTAACAAATTGTAGCCAAAGGGAGGGAACAAATCCATATTTGTATCTGTTAGATTCCTGAAAAGAATCACTGAATAAGATAGCGGTATATTTCAAAAGTAACAGCTATTTTTTCAAAGGAAAAGAGAAAAGTAAAAAGCTTGTACGCTGAAAACAAGGTTATTATTTACTACATACTACAAAAATATTAAACTTGAATCAGTCTTCGGCTTTCGCGCACTAGATGACAGAACAACTTGAAATTCTTTGAGATGTACTAACAAAACAGCTTGAGCAATAGTCTTTTAAGCGACTTCTGTCATTAACTGTTGTAACTTTTTAAAATACACCTGCTTCATGCCACAACTGACGGTCGTATTTCAGTGGTTCATTACGCCGTGCTTCAACGTTAAATGTGCTATCATTCTTCAGCTCTTTTCCTCGTGCCATACGCGAAGCTTTCGTCCATCCAGTCTTTCTTGGATTACGCTTCTTCTTGAACAATTTGTGACATTTTGAACGACAAAATCGAAACACCTAGAGAATTCTTAAATGTAATCCTTATTTCAGTCCACTTCATCGCCTAGTAACAGACTACAAATGAATAAACGAATACAAATCATTTATTCCAATCTAAAAAAAAAGAAACAATATAAAAATATTTTTTTATTCTAGCTGGATGAAGAGGTACAAACTGCTAAGATCACTGCGAAAATTAAAAGCAGAGTTAGTGCAAATGTGATCCGATCCTGCACCATATTTCACAATGATCCTTTTCCACATCTCTAATTTACACTAACTTTATGATTTCGCTAACACAATCAAAACTTACGGTACAATCATTTCTGACGAATGTAATCCCATGGCCGGGGTAGATATTAGAAGAGCAAAAATAACACTTTTCAATCCTCATTCTCCACAATTTAGATTATTTATTCAAGCTGAAATTTAATTGAAAAAAAAAGTCCAATGAAGAATATTGCCTTCACAGAGGACCTGAAATTCACGACTCATTCAAGGATAAAAAAAAAGCATAATTACACGACTATTCATAGTTACGACAATGTACAATAACGATGTCATTAAAGATGTCATTAGTAGCCAAAAAAGTTAGTCATACATTCAACTAAGCTAAGCTATCAATGGAAATAACTGCTATGCATGTATACACAACACTACACTTTAAAATTTATCCACTGATAAATTTTAAAAACTCTGAAGTTGTCCACACATCAAATATCTGTACCTTTCTCCGCCTATGCGAGATCCTTGGAATTAGCAAAAGTCTGAATCTTTCCCAAAAACAAGTAAGAAAACATCTGACTTCACATGGTGTTCTATTTTAATATAAACGCAGCGAGGTAAACTGCCAAAAAAGATCTGGGATTCCGGTTTTCATGTCGCCCCCTTTTGTGACGGAACCAGACAAATTGTAGAAGCAGTCGTCGCTCTTCCGTGTTGGTGGGGTGTTATTGTGTGTGTGTATGTGTATGTGTATGTATGTATGTATGTATGTGATGTACGTGTATGTGTATGTGTGTGGTGTATGTGTATGTGTGTGTATGTATATATGTGACTGTATGCGTGTGTTAAGAATCTATTAAGTAATAATAGCATTATTGAGGACATTATTGTTACAAATGGCATTATTAGGAACATTAATAGCATTAGTTACAGATGAACACGAGGAATGCTGGAAGTGACGAGTTTGGAAAGATTAAAGATCAAAGGATGCGTCACTGATAAATCTTCTTTATTGGTTTTGATATAAAAGAAAGTATAAAATATAATTACCAGTGAGGATGAGCAGGAATTGATGGAATTTACACTGTTTAATGTTTATTAGAGAGAAGTCAGAAGAAAGAAATCTTTTAGCAACCAAACTGATACGTGAAAGCAAAAAGTATTTGAGGGAGACAATATATAATAAGTGTTTCCGTATTGCAGGTGGTATTTCCAGAAATGTTTCATCAAATTCAACCAGATGAAATAATTATAGAGGAAGATGGTATAGGAGATAATGAAAGAATGGAATAATTTTTGCAGGCTTTGATGCTTATGTATCGTCGACAAATAGAACATAGCAGAAGGTTGTTGAGACGTGGCGTGGTACGTGAAGTTTGTTGATTTCTGATGTGTAAAGAACTTTAATAATTAAGCTTTGAACAATATTTCAGTAGCGAAATCAATAAAAATTTCAATTAGTCATGGTTTTAATTAATTTTTACAATTAAAATTATTGGCATGTTATAGGTACCAGTGTTAGAAAAACGAACTGTTTGGCGAGATCGCAGTTTGAGCCCTGCTGCTGAAAGAGACCAATATGTGACAGAAAATACGCTTAGTTATCATCAGAACCGTTTCGAACGACGTGAAAATTTCATGGTAGATAAAGTTAACGTCAAAATGTAGTTGAAGTATTTCATTAAGAGAATTTTTCTGTTAAGAGAAGAGAACGATGGAAAATTTTGTTCATTTAGAAAAAAGTGTTTCTGTGGTAGTTTGTTATGATACCTATTCTATATGCATCTTCAAAGCGGAAGAAATATCAAAAACGACGCATATTTGCAAGAAAGTTTACTTTCACAAGTTCACATCTTTGTTTTGCTTGCGGTGATTACGTGGAAGTTTACTGTGATATCAAATCAGAATATGTGTAGAGCGAAGGCGTGGTTAGCAGCGGCATCATTTTATCGTCTGTCACGTTCACATTTGTAATTTTGCATTAATTTTCCATCATTCGTCTATCGATCGAGGAGAAAACTGAAAGCAACATTTTAAAGGAATGAAGTTAGGCATCAACGATGTGTTGTAGAAGATCTCATGGTGGTTCTCAAGTACGGACTCGTGATGTCTCTTGTCTTTGAATTACTGTTGTTTGGTTTCAACTATTATGATATCTTTTGCTGCTCTACGTTCTAATTTTATGACGATATTTTCCCTCGGTGTCAGTGCTGAACTCATCGTTTGTCATTTCGTCGAATTGCAGCAATTTTGTAATTGATTATTGCTCTCGATGGATGAGGGACATACTGGATGTTTTAGCAGTCTGCCTTATCAAGCTAAGTGCAGGGCTTTCCATTGCTTACATCATCCCACGGCTATGACCGTTACAAAAATCTCACGTTGTTATTTTAATTGATCGTGTAATTTTGAAGGAAAAAGACGTTTCTTAGTATATACGTTGACAAAATCAGATAGTACATCATGCACTATATGCAGTTTTTATGTTTATACCAGATGTGCAAATTGGAAGCGATGAACATAATATAATTTGAATCATCGATGTGGGAGTTTGATTGGTTTTGATGATGCACAAGTACTTATTGTTGATGAAAGCAGAATACGGAGAGGATTGGAACAGTTTGCATATGGATTATAAGGGAATACTGATACTTGGAAATGAAGATTTGTGTATAAGACTAGTTATTATATTCTGAATTTGGATATAACTAATTACTTTTTGCTACAAGTTTATGGTGGTGGAGGCGTATAGCTGTAGCTTTGGCACTCTAACATCGAGTAATATTTAGGTTTGATGAGATTGCTTAGCAGCGTTATTTCATGTATCATAATTGTAAATATTTTTCATAATTATTTTTCAGCACTTTGTTTTTTAACGTCCCAATTGTTATATATGTGCAAAATGCTTTACGGAGATATCAACAGCTAAAAGTCAAAATTTCTAGAAAAAATTTTTGGTAAATTAAAATTGAAATTCAATAAGGATTGAAGATGAAAGAAAGCAGTTCACCAAGAGGCCATCAAAGACATCGTCACCGAGAACGCTTGAATAGCAACAGTGAGTTAAGCCGACAGGCTACCAGGATTGCATCAGTTAGAACTGGACCAATGAAAAGTCGCGAATATTTGTATGTTGCACGTTCTGCTTTGATTTCTGTTAAGTTTTCTGTTTTTTACATTCATATTGTCAAAGGTCAAACGGCTATTGTTTCATTCGTGCTTTTTATTTTTAAGAATGTATTAGGCTAATAAGCACTATATTTTTTGGAAACACGGTAATATTAGGAGGATAATTTAAGATAGGACTGTCTTAGCTTGATAGCTACTGCAGTAGATTTCCTATTCGTCTCACGCGAATTATTGTCATATTGTCTAACACTTACAAGTGCAACTGCAAAGTTTCACATTTTAAAATTTCTTGTCTTACATTACTGCTGCTCCTCTTCATGATATTTGCAAATGAAGTACTTTCTCTATAATCGAAGGAGAGACATTTAAAAGGAGACAGGAAAGCGGATATGTGAAATAGAATAAATAATGGCATGTGTTGGTTGGCTTAAAGTTATCAGGATTATTTGGTAATTGTCTCTTATTGTGGTGGAAAAAGAAAAGGTTGGAACGACTGAATTATGAACTATTCTCTTCAATTTTTGCTGTGGATAATTTCTCATTTTGACAATTTGAAGCTTCGATAACGTCAACTTTTAGTTCCGGAACCTGTGTTGTGCACATTCATGATATGGTTTATTATATTCTGGAGCATTTTGTTGAACGAAAAACCAAATTATGAATTTAACGAAGACTATATCGAATGATTTTTGCATTCCGAACAGCATTTGTCTTCCTCATATAGCTGCATCCATGAACAAGAGGCACTTTCCGCCACTGACAGATCTTTTTTGAAATTATTGCTGTTTTGCTAGAACGGAATGGATTCTGAATGAAATTCTGTTTTTTTTTTTTTTTTTTTTTGGATATTAATTTTGTTATTTGAACGTTCGTATTTAAGCTAGAGAAAACACTGGAATTATATTTCTTGAATACTGATATGAAATATGGAGTTACTTTTCATGACATTAAATAGATCAGCTACAAGTATTTCTTAATGGCTCTTTGTTACTGTCGCTACTATTTCAATATGTATTGCATATTTTTTCCTTCAGAAAAATTTCCCAAATGCTTGACTTCTGTACTGTAATGCACAGTAATCGAAAGCATTCCAGATCACTTTTATAGTTTTTGAATAAATCAGAAATCGAAAAGTGATTGCTGGGTACGTGCGAGATTTATTGGAGCTTATTCAGAGGAAATATTAAGGATGCGGGACTTCAATATTCAAATAACCTAATTAGAATGGATTGTATTGAGGCTATTTGAGCAATTTTCTTATGGGTGACGAAATTTTATAAGAATGCTAATCAAGTGAAAAATCAAATGGAAGATTACAACGAATAGATTCTTTCATGAATTTTTGTGACTGGAATGCACTCAATTATGCCAATTGGGGTGAATGATTTCGAAAACCTTTGTTATGCATTTAATGGTCCCCAACATCAATCAAATAGTGAGTATTTTATATTTTACTGGACTTAGGTGATGACCTCGGGAAAATCAACATTGTTTCATGGAAGCGATGTAATGCTGTGGTCAATTCAGATAAATGTGACGATTCAGCTGAATTGTTCGATTTTATGAATTTTGGAAATCATAGTTTTGGATATTCAATTATGCTTATACTGAAGTGAATGGGAATGGTATTTTATATAAGCAATTCAGATTAAAATAAGCAAAATGAATCCCGGAAATTGAATAATGGATTATTAAAATAAAACTTAAACAACAGCTTAATGCTATGGAGTTTTAATCTAGCTGTATATGCAAGATATTTTATCTGAAATAAAAGTGACGGAATAGAACACATATCTCGTCAAAGTTAGACAGTTACTTCTCTAAGCACGAAATTACGTGGGAGTTTATTAAGATAAAGAAACCAAGGAACTGGAAAAATCACTGGGAGTTATCTCGGTTGAGTTTTTGTTTCAGAGGCATTGGTAATGTGTTTACTTTTTTTTTTCATTTTGGCTGAAACGTTTTCCTGTAGCAGATCATTTTAAGGGAACGTGAATTAGCAAAGCACTATCGAGTACGCGATCGAATAATTGCTTTGGA